AGAGCAAGGTTGAGTCAGGAGATGCCAGCCTGCTGTCCAGGGAGCAGCATGTAATGGAACACAGGTAAAGCCACGGAACACGTGACAACATATAGATGAACAGAAATGGGCTGAGTTTAAGTGTAAGAGCTAGTCAGTGGTAGGCCTGAGCTAATGGCCTAGCAGTTTTAATTAATATAAGCCTCTGTGTGTTTACTTGGGTCTGAGTGGCTGTGGACCAGGCAGGACACAGGAAAACTTTTGGCTACACCCCACCAAGGCCAATTTGTGTTTACCAAATGTTCTTGGATATTTGGAGAGCAGCTGACTTGTCAGGGCACTCTTAGAGAAAACTGACCCTTCGTTTTCTAGCAGCTAACATTTGCCAGGAGCTCCTTCGCCAGAGGTGGAACTTCATGCCTGATTTCTCTGACTTGGGCTTGTCTTTATGATTTTTCTGTTAACCTAAAACTGTTCTAAAATTAGAGGTTTAACTTTGAAAAGGTAAGTAGAGGTTGTGCAGGGGAAGAATAAAATGCAGGTTGGGGATGTATATATGTAAAAATGGCTGGATTTGAAAGACAGGGAGACAAGTGGAAGCGTTGCTCCATCAGAAAGGAGGCCACAGAAATTCTTCAAAAACATGGACTTGGGGGCTGAATAATTGGATCAGGGGTTAAGAGCACTTGTTGTTCTTCCATAAACCCAGGTTTGATCCCAGCACCCACATGACAGTTCACAGCTGTCTGTAAATCCAGTTCCAGGGATCTTACATTTTCTTCTAAAGCCTTTGAAGGCACCAGGAAAGCACATAGTATAAGACATACATACAGGCAAAATACCCAACCACAAAAGTGAAATAATAGGGCTCAGAGAGATGGCTCAGTGGTTAAGAGCACTAGCTGCTCTTCCAGAGGTCCTGAGTTCAATTCCTAGCAACCACAATGTGGTTCACAGCCATTCCATTTATACTGGGATATGATGCCCTCTTCTGGCATAAAGTCATATATGCGGATAGAGCCTACACACACACACACACACACACACACACACACCAGACGCGGGGAGGGAAGGAGAGGGAAAGAGGAAGGGAGAGAGACTGTCAAATGTCATGCTGGGAGCATCTGGTGAAAGCTATGCCGACAGACACATCAAACTGGCCAGGTAAGGGAAGATGACTGAGTGAGACAGGAAGCCAGAGCACAGACAGACCCAGACATCCTGGTGTCTAACAACTCACTTGGGTCCACAATAATCACCTGATCCCCCCAAAGAAATACCCCCAATGACATAATCATTCTGTAGTAGCGTCTACTTCTTAAAAATTCCTACTGAGAGTGAATTAACGTTGTTAAACTGAAGAGCAAATCTCCAACAGAGGAATCCTCGGGGACATGCTATATCTAACATCAGTAACAAGGGCTGGCTGTACATTCACCTCTGTTAAATCATAGGGGCCACTAAGGGAGGCCAGCAAAGCTTGAGCATCTGCCCTCTATCCACCTGTGACCCCCAGGGAATCAGCCCCCACAATACTCTGTTTCTGGGTGGCCGTGAACGATAGTTTTCCTATGGCAAGCAGTTGGTGTTGCTCAGCTCCCAGTCACAGTGTGACCAGATCCCAGATCCCCTTTGGCCACCTGCCTGTGGGGACTGTAGGATGGCCGTAGTTGTGTTGCCTGTAAAATACCCCAAGGTGCACACCATAGCCTGAAACCAGGGGTGCCTGGCCTGTAGTGTGGACAAGAAGTCTGGTCAACATGTCCCATAAAAAGAGTGTTGGTGCAAGAAGACCTTAGGTCACAGGGCATGCCCTGTAGACACCAGAGCCTAAATACCAGTCTCAACCTCCGAGGTTTAAAAACATCCACCGGCTCCACTAAAGAAGGCTGGTGGTCATCATTGTGTTCACTTGGAGTCTTGGCTCCAATTCCCCAGCAGTGACCTTGGCTTGAAGATATGCCTTTTAAGAGCAGAATCACATTCAAGATTCAGCAGCTGTTTTATGAGGTTATATTTTCAGGCTGCATAGGCTAATTATGGTGTAATCATAAAAAATCACCTACAGAGCTTGTTAAATTTACAGATGTTCCTGGGTCCCATCCCAAAGGAGGGTCCCGAGGTTAAGTATTTCCACTATGTTTGCTGGGAGATTTTTGTGGTACAGCCTTAAGTCTAGGAAAAGACATAGACCACGAACTCAGAAGTGTGCTTTACCAACATTCTAGTTCCCACACTTCTTTAAAAATTAGAATGGAGATGAAGGAGGGCCTGGGAATTTGAAAGCCAACTGTTACAAAATGCTGTTGGAAGGAACCCAGCCCAAGATGTCAAGTTCTTCAGCCCACTCTTTGTAGGGAAGACGGCTGATTCCAGCACAGGGAAGGGGCTAATCAACGTCATTCAACCACAGTGCCTGAGCAGCATCGGAAGCTGTATCCTCAGCTTCCAGTCCATGGCACCAGGACTACGAGATCTCCATAGGCAGAGAACAGTGCTTGTGTGAGTTAAAACAGAGATCTTTTGACTGGACAACACATGCTTTCTTAGAGGGCACTACAAATGCTTCTGAAGATGCGTCCCCTACCCTCCCCACCCCCAAACTGAAGATGGTAGCTCTGTTGGCCAGGATCACCTGGGTGACTCTTTCCAGCACCCTCCTGTGCTGTATAGGTTTTCCTCCTCTGGCTGCCAAGTGGCTGGCCTTCTGGGTGCTTTGTAACTTGGTTACAGCTTGATGTACGGTCTTTTGCCAGGGCCCAAAGGAGTTTCCTAGAAGAAGAATGTAAGGGGCAGTGCTTTTGGAGCAATGTCAGTCCACGGCACTCTCTCCTAGGCTCTGGAATCTCCTTTGGTATCAGAAGAAGGATGTTGAGGCCATGTGACAGAACCAACCGGTCACTGTGGTACTCTAGTGCTTCTCTTAACCCTGCCAACTTCCGGGTGAGGACAGTGAAACACCAATGTAGGCGTTAGGCAGTGATGTGCATGTGGATGGTAGCTGAGCATCTGGGTTGACAAATCCACGGGGATAAGTTGCAATTCTTTCAGCATTCCACGTGAAACAGAGGGTTACAGGAAGGCAATCCACTTGTCCTGGTTTATACAGACTGTAAGATGGAGCCGGCCTCAACCATGAGAGCAAAGGTGGGCTGTGGAACAAGCCTGCAAACTGTACAGCACGTGTTCTGTTGGAATGCTTTGGGTTCTGAGTTCTTCCTGGAGGTGTTTCTGATGCTGCTGCTGGGTCTTGTGGTCACTCAACGCTCGGCTCATAAGGCAGAAATAAACTTTTCCCATCCTTCTCATTATGCTTTAATTTTGTGGTGACCATGGGGAAAGAGAACAGCAGGAAGGTTGGGACTATATAGACTTACCCCCTCTGCCTGTTTTTTTGAGAGATGGTCTATCAGAAAAGGACTTATGGTTTCTTAGAGATGACTGATATGTGACCTTCTTCAGAACCTGCAATGTGCTGGATGCTTTCCAAATGAATATGATGACCTCATGGGAGCATCATGGCAGTCCTACTGTGTGATCCCCACTTTTAGGTGAATCTGAAGGAGGTTAACAGAGACGCTCGCATTCTATCCACATGCACCTGCAGGTCTGCCAGCTCCAGAGCCTGTGCAGTCCACACCTGTTCTGATTAGTGAGTCCACTTGAAGTGTTTTGGTTCAACATTTGTTTCAAAAAAAAAAATGTTTTTGAGACACATTCTCACTCTGTAGCCCAAGGGCTTTGAACTTATATTCCTGCCATCTCAGCCTCCTGAATGCTGACATTGTAGGTGTGTGCTGCCTCTCAGCCGCAAATATTTCTTGAGCACCTGTACTCTGAATGAGGCCCAGTATGATCTTGGAGGTGGAAACCCGAGTGAACCATGGACCTCGCCTTCTGTACTCACTCTGAGGTGTGGAATCGACGATGTGTATTAAATGCAATGTGTCATCGCTGCATGCAAATAAGACTTAACATACTGTAGAAGTGGAGAGGCACAGGTTCTCCATCCTTGTCTCCAAGATGACATGCAGGGGGATGAGGGGCAAGGAGTCGGATGGGAAGAGAGGCACCGTGGGCAGGACCAACCATACCTGCTCCCACACTCACATCTTTACCATGTTCTCTGCATCCAGTAGACTCAGCCACAGACTGGACAAGGCCCATCCTGTTAGAATCTATAGATCCTGACGTATGCATTATGGATGTGTGGGCAAATGGAGTGAATCACTTCCCAGTCTGTGTGCATGTGTGCATGCCAGGAAAAGCAAGGGTGTGGGTGATGAAGCTGGAGAAAGGTATAGGCCAGACTTGCATGATTTTATTGTCAAAAGAAAAATTGGCATTCTGCACTGTAGACAACAGTTACAACTTGGTGGGGAGTTGGCATTATTTCTGTCGACACCTTTTTTTTTTTCAAGTTGGAAAGACAGAGGCCTCTCCCTATGCCCCACCTCTGCCCAGCCTCACCTCCCATCATCAGCCTCAGCCAGGCTGCCTCCTCAGCCCTGCTTTGCTCCTCATCTGTGCATTGGCTAAGTCTTCATTGTTTCCCAGCCAGCTGACCCAGCTTGTCTCTGTTCTAAGTTGGTTCTGTCTTTTGAAAAGACTAGTCCAGGTCCCGACCCCGGTGAGTGTGACCTCACTTAGAAATTAGGTCTTTGCCGGTGTGAGCACGTTGTAATGCACAGGCAAGGCAGGAGAGCTACTGAATGAGCAGCCCCCTGCAGGTAACACCAGAAGCTCAAAGAGAGGCTGGGGACAGAATTCCCTCCAGAACCTCCCAGGAGGACATGACCCTGACAGTGGACTTTCTCCACCTGTAACTGCCGAAGAATCAACGCTGTTGCTTTTGGCCACTCTGCGGCGGTGATACTCTGCGGCGGTGATACTCTGCGGCGGTGATGCTCTGCGGCGGTGATACTCTGCGGTGGTGATGCTCTGCGGTGGTGATCTGTTTAGGTGATGAATGGAGTCTCTTCTCCCTCGTTGTTCACCCCGTTCCCAGCCTCCAGGTAAGTTTCCTGGTGATCCTTCAAAACACACATTTTGTTTCTGCTCCTCTCCTCCCTGGCCATTGTTTTCCTTAGGAGGAAACCCAAGCCCTCTGTCCCTGGCCCCACCACCATGCATGTACCCCATGCCTGGAGAGTTCTGGGTGCTTTCACTGTGATTAGGTACGTTCACTTCACTTGCTGCATTTCTTTCCTTCCCATCCTTATCTTGTGGGCATAGGGGCCTGGATCACCTCACCGTGGCCCCTCACACTTGGGCATGAGCAATAAAACTGTGGTTTCTTACCCAACTCTCCTGGTCAGAAACACTGTAGCAGCAGCAGCAGCAGCAGCAGCAGCAGCAGCAGCAGCAGTAGCCGCAGCCGCAGCAGCAGCAGCATGTTTGAAGCCCAGGCTCACAGAGCCTGTTCCTGTGTATGGAACATAGGACATGAAGAACAAGTGTTTGTTACATGAATGAAAAAATGCAGACATGACTAACTCAGATTTGGAGATAGCCCCAGTTTCTGCTGCCTGGCACCAAGCAGAGGGCAGAAGAGCGTGAGGGGAGTGGCCAGCAGAGGAGGAGACATGCCAGCTGGGTTGCTCTGGGAGAATGCTTAAGCCTCACTGAGATTCACCAACAAAGCAGCAGAAATACTACACACATCACAGAATCACTGAGAAGATCCAGCGGTTGTAGACGGAGGTGGGAGGGTGATACTGCTCATTATGTACCGTGGTTTAGAATACCCCAAGTCTGAAATCTGCTAGACACTGAACAGAAACGACCCACCCCCTTTTTTCCCCTTCACCAGAGCATGCTCAAGAATGACCTTGGCAGTGGAAGCCATCCTAATTATTTGTGCAGAACAATAGCCAAGGTGGAGCAGAGGGCCATTTAAACACAGGAGAAGCAATTAATCACAGCCCACTGGAATATTGATTTTAGTCCTGAACTCAGCTTGCTTTATATGCAGGAAATGAAATGCTGTAATTATGGCAGTCACTTGAGACTCTGAGTCCTGGCTCCAATTCCCCAATTCTCCATCACTGCATCGTGGCTCTGTCAGTACGACGCCCGAACATCTGGCTGGAGAGTGAAAATGCCATCCATTTTCTGCCCATGACTCAACGTGAACACACCTCCTCTCCTCCGCTAATGGTGGTAAGATAGACGTAACTTTTATTCCTTCATGCTTTTCAGTGACCATTTCCGGGGTGTTCAGTATGTTCACATGTTTTATTTTACCATCACCACCCTCTATCTCCAGTAATGTTTCTTAATCTCCAATATCAGCTCTGCACCCATTAAATAATAACTTAGTCATTCTCCCTCCCCAGCCTCTGCAGCCCACTGCTCTGAACCTGACTATATTTGGTACCGTATATAAGTGGAATCATGCCACCTTCAAACTCAGTCCATGCTATAGTGTGTGCTGTTATCTTCTTCCTTTTCAAGGCTGAATAATATTCCACTGCTTATTATTAGTAATTTTATTGTGGTAGGGGTGGAACCCAGGTCCTGAGGTACGCTATACTGAGTTCTACCCTCAGGCCCCAATCTCTTGTTTATAGATCACACTTTGTCACCTGTTAATGGATGTTTAGTTGTTTACACCTTTCTGTTATCACTACAGTGAACAGTGTGTCCCATCAGTCTTTGAGGTCTTTGGGATATGTCTGGATGTGGAATTGCAGGGTCATATGACAATTCTACTTCATATTCTTTACAAGGAACCATTATCCATTTGGACATTTGCAAGATATCTGTGGACATTTGCAGGACACAGCATCAAAGAAAGAGAGGACAGTGGCAGGTAGTGTGGACCCGAAGCCCAGGGGAAGAGAGTCAATCCCATGCCTGCAATGAGCTGGCTTGCATCCCTAACTCTGGTACTTTCTCCTCTCTCCATGACAGTTCACCAGCCCCTCACCCCCAACCCCCACCGCCCCAGGCTTCCTAAGGAAGTGGCGGATGCGTTCTTGGCTTTTCTCTGGAAACCTTTCTGTCTCTAGCTCTCACTCATAACTAACTCATATTTTCAAACTGAATGCTCAGTAGTTTCCTTTCTAGAAAATTTCATTTAACCCGAATCCAATGGATTAGCAAATCGTTAATATTCGTATATAAGCAAACTGAAGTTCCTGTTAAAGCCGCTGTCAGCACACGTGTGGTCGGCTCAGAGCGTTTTACAGCTAGCAGCCTGCTTGGTCTCCCGGGGTACGAAAACTCCCCTGAGGCCGTTTTAAATGTTGATTTGAATCTAAACACCTAATAACTGGTACCTGCGTAGAGATGTGGCTCCAGAGACTGGCTGTGTGGCTGCCAGGAGCCAGGGGCTGCAGTCAGGGATGAATAGAGCAGCTCCCTGTCCTGTGAGACAGGACCAGTGAGCTCCTACGAAAGTGCCCTGTGGGAGGAATAGTCCATTCCTGAGCTTACTGGCTTGTGTTTCATACTGGGCACGTTTTTAATATTTCCGAGGTGGATATTGGAGGCAAAGCTTGTCTTTCAGTGACTCCACTGTTCATCCTTTCTCATCAAGAATGGGAAATTTCTGAGCTTCCACCCATTCGCAGTTAGAGTCCTTATTTCTTTTGGAGATAAACCTCTGGGTGTCTTTCATGCTCTCTGTGAATGGAGTGAGCGTCTGAGTCTGCTCCAGACGGGCCTTTAAGTGCATACACATAGCCTGGACAGAGTGAAGGACAGGAATGGCTGTTGTTCAGTAAATAGAAATTGGTGTCCTACCCCTCCAGTGAGGGGTAGTCAGGTTTGCTTATAAAATTTAGGCTTTGCCGGGTGGTAGCGCACGCCTTTGATCCCAGCACTTGGGAGGCAGAGCCAGGTGGATCTATGTGAGTTCGAGGACAGCCTGGTCTACAGAGTGAGTTCCACGACAGGCTCCAAAAGCTACATAGAGAAACCCTGTTTCAAAAACCAACCAACCAAACAAACAAACAAAAAAACCTTAGGTTTCTCTGTGATGCAAAATTGCCTTGCATAGTTTCTATGGTAATATTATTTCTTCTCTCCTTCTTCCCCTCCCC